CCTCCCAAAGCAAAAGGTATCAGTGATTTGTTACTGATTTAGTGAGATACAGAATGAACAAAAAGAGCTGAAGTAGAGGTGGGTTGCAAAGTGGCTTGCAGATGTAGACCAGCTCTTTTGTTGAACTGTTTTATTAGCAGTTTTGATGCATTCCCCGCCCCGTTTCTTTTTTTTAGAGTTGTACACCCCAACTCCTTAAAAGCCACAGTTGTCAGAGAGCTCTAACATGAAGACCATCCCACCTGTATGCGAGCCTCATTGAGTTTAGTGATTCGAGCCAGCTCCTCTCTGTAGTAGATGTCAGGATACTGATTTTGTCCAAACGCCACTTCCAGCTGCTCCAGCTGTTTGTGGCTGAAGGTGGTGCGGTGGCGTCTTCTGGCTGGGGAGGGGTATGCTCTGCTCCGTCTATTGAATCCTACGGCCACGGAGGTCTCGCACAATGTCCCCTTCCTCACCGACTCTCCTATATCTGTTTTCAGGAGCGAGAAAAGAAAAGGGGAAGGGGTTGCGTGGATCCTTTTTTTTTTTTTAGGGAAAAATTCCCCAGGTCTTATTTCTTCACTTCCTCAACATGACACAAGAAATGTGGCCTTAACTGAAAAAGCAGCAATTCACCAATGACTGTCTCAAAAAAAGGAGGGATTACCCGACTTTCTGGTTCCCACTGGCATCAGGCAACCTGAGAGCCAGAGAGCTTTAGCTGGCAAACACAAGCTCGTGAGAAACAGACACCAGAAACTGGAGGATTTGTCCAAGATTATTACCACAATCACCAGCAAAGGGACTCATCTCCTTAAAATGAGGCGACTTGGTCTGCTGGTATCAGATGACATTATAAAACAGCTGGATGTCGAATGGCAGAGGCAATTATTATGATTACATGAGCAAACTTGGTAACTTGTGGGGGGGTTGGGGGATCGTGTCAGGAAGAGCAACCAGCAGGGGGAAAAAATCTGCCAAATCAAACATGCGGAGCTGCCCCGCTGTGAAAATCAGAGAAGCTGAAAGTAGGAAGGTTTTATATAACAGTTTATTTTTCCAAAGCTTTAAACTTTTATATCGTGTGTTCATCACTTTCCAACACTACTATACTCTGTTTATTAAAGAGTACAACACCAACAAAGCATCGCAGCTGATTAAATAATCTATCACTGGTAAACATAGAAAATACTGCCTTAAAAGCTAAGAAGGTAATCCAAAGGTTGCAAAGTAAACCAAACCAGCAGGATGACAGTATAATAAAGGGAATTAACATAACACCACTTTACATAAAGTGGTTTTGCTAACTCTTTATAACAAAGCTGACAATATACAATGTGCGACTCGTGTGTCAATAAAATTAGAACTAATTTAATGTAGATGCTGTGGAAGAACACAAGAACGGGGTCATTAGGATGTTGTTTGACTCACCTGCACTGGAGCTGACAGTAGTCATGTCGGAGTAAAGATCCGTGCTGTCCTGGTGGATCCTCACACTCTCTCCCGCTACCTTCACCTGGGCCATCACTTCACTTCTGAGCCCCCCTCACACAGACGCAGCTAAACTTAAAGTCACATGTCCCACCCATCTGCTTTACCTTCACCTGTGTTGGTGGGCCGGTTGAGTGAAAGGCACCGTATGTTTCTGCTGGTCCAGCACAGAAACCAACGGTTGTGTTCTAGTAGCTTCATGCTCATCTACAGTTTTGCAGTGCACCATTGCAAAGACTTGAATATATGCAAAGAAAGTTGAACGTAAAGAATGCACATTTCAGTAGAAAGCGGCAAGAAATGTATCATATGTAGAGAGGATATAAAATAAAAACTTGAATATATGGATAAAATTGTCAACATATGCAAAAGAACATGAATATATGGGATGAAAGTTGAGTATTTAGGATAACAACTTGACTACATGACAAGACGTTAAGTCTTTAGCAAAAACGTTGAACATATAAAAATAAAAACCTGAAATATACAGAATGAAAATTTAATATTTGGAATGAAATATCAATATATACAAAAACCCCTGAATTTATGGGAAGAAAACTGAAAATATGTGAAAGATGAATATATAGACCCAAATCTGGGAAGTAATGTAAAATCCAAACTTTAAATATGTTGAATGAAAGATGAACATGTGGAATAAAAACTTGAATATATGCAAAAAAAAATCTAATAAAAGCTGAAAATATAGAAAAACGTATATGCAAAAAAAAAAGCTGAAGGTATATGAAATAAATATACTGAATGAAAGTTGAACATGTGGAATAAAAACTTGAACATGTGGGCGAATGTCTTTGCTCTATGTGACCAGCAGGTGGCACTGTTCTGTCAGGTTGAGGCAAAGATTGAACATGAATTATAAACATTTTTTCATATGGATTTATGTGGGGGGTGGAGGACTGGGGATCCTCCATAAACCCAACCCCTCCGTGGTCACCTCCAGCCTGTGGTTCACTGTCTCCCGACTGAAAGAGCACCCCGTCAGCTGGATTAACTCAGCTGAACTCCAGCGTAACCTCCCGGGACCCTCAGCTGCTCTCAGAAATTCCCATGATGCTAAACTGAGTCCAGGCCCAGTGTAGAGGAATGGCCCTGATACCAGGAAGAGACCCACTAATGTCCCACTCAGCACTGAGTCATGACAGGGCAGCAAGAAGACAGCTCAGATAGTTGGAGAGCAGCAGCTGGCTTTTTATCAGCGCGAGACGGCCATTCATCACGCGCTATATTTGTTGAACAATGCTATTTGCTTGTACATGTGCGCCGTATATACATATCCACTGGCTGTACGTGTTAAGTAGCTTATGCAAGAGGCCCTATTACACTACACGTTTACATTAGGAGTACATTCTAAGAAGGCCCTCTCCTTGTTTAATATTATAAGATGCCATTTGGCCTGAGCCATACGTGAAATTCCCAAGAACCAATAAATCAAAAGTTCAAATGCTGGACTCTACATGTGTGTGATACAGCAGATCGTAGTCCTGCCTGGGACCAGGATCCCTGCCAGGAAAGTCTAACAGACAACGTAGAGTGATTGAATGGCTCACTGTATAAGCAAGGCCTGCATGATCGTCTGAACCAACTTTTCCTTGAGAAAGTCCCTCGCCTTGTTCTGGGTTCTCAGCGTATTAATATATAATTTGATTCCTTGTGACATGCTGTCTGCCAGGGCCAAATCCTGCGTGTCCAGGAAGAGCTTCCATCCTGCCTGCATTATGTGTGTGTGTGTATTTGTGCATGCACATCTGCCAAGCCTCTTCAGAGCTCACATGTTTCCTGTTCCAGACAACCCAGCCACAAACCCTCCAGAAAACCCCCAAGCCTGTCTGTGTGTTTTATTTGCAGTTGCACTTCCTTTTATCTTCTTAATAAATATAATTCCTTGAAATGTGGAAAACGTTCTTAAAATCCATCTTCTTCTTCTCTTTTTTTGTTTAAAGGCAATGGAGAAAAATAAACTCCTGGGAGGTTTAATGCACAGAGCATCCATATCACAAACTCCAAGCCATATTTCAGAGAAAGGGGGAAGTTATCATATGTCTTCTTCTTCGTCCCAGATACCGAGCTTCACAAACTTCATTGAAGCCACTAAAAATAACTTTTAACCAGAAGTGGAACCAAAGGCTGGATGTGGAAATAAGCCAGCTTCTGCTGACAGGTTCCACATATCCAGTTAAAGCTGTTAATCTTGTGCTCACGGCTTGTTTATCCTGCAAAAACGTGAAACAGCTAACGCGGGTTTTACGTGAACAATGATAATACCGACCACTTACATGAACAAAAGCAGTGCTTTAAAGAATCAGATGATGACACTAAAGTTCCTTCAAAAGAACTGTGAAAAAATGTGTTTTTTGTGCAGCTTTGTGCTGGTCTTCCACTAACTTTTTTATTAAATAGCTTACCTTGCTTTAATGTAACATTGGCTGATTGTTAATTTCATTTGTGGTAACCTGGGGTTTAATGAACAAGCTCCAGACACAACATATTCTCTCTGTGTACAGTTCAGTTGGATATTTTGTTGTCTAATATTGACTGTCATCCTCTGGGATCTGTTACTTTATGTTTAGTGTTAAACGGGTAGTGAGTTTATCCGGGCACTTTGCAGCAGCTGAAATAAGGGTAAGTGATACTTACATAGCACTTTTCTACTCCGAGCACTCCAAGGGTGTCAAGGTTTCCTCTCTAATTCAATTTGGTATTTCTGTTTTGTCGTCTGAAAAACAGGCTCAGAAAACCCAACAAAAACTGAAACGACAATTCTTTGGAGTCTGTTTTAGCAAAGCAGAATACTGAATGAGTGGACTTTGGCTCTGACTGAGAAACACGTCAGAGACACAACGTCACTCAGCATAACGGCTTCAGTCACAGAGTAACACTCTCTGCTTTACTGGCCATTTTCCTATAAATCAGTGCAGAATTTACCACACAAATGACATTTTGTGTTTAGAAATCTGGCAATTGAGACCACAACACTATTTGCAAGATCATACATCAAGTAATATCTACGGCCCAGATTTATAGAAGAGTCGCCCCCTGCTGACCATTAAAAGAATGCAGGTTTAAGGCCCGTCTGGCCTGGCTTTACTTTTCAGGTCCGTCCTTTATATACAGTCTCAAACTATGATGGAGGGCTAAAAAAATTTTTTTAAAAGCTTCATTATTCTTGAGCTTAAGTTCAAACCCAAACTGCAGATATCCTGAAAAGTCCACAAAAGCAGTGGATTGGAATAATAGGCGAGGATGATCCACTAGAAGGTGACAGTCTTGACAAATTGCAGATGATGTGTAACTGGGAGCATGTGTGTGAAATGGCTTGTGAACACTTTGGAGGCCTGTGTCAGTGCGTAGCGTTTTATCTGCAAACATGTCGCTTTTTGTTTGCGCACGTTAACGTGATTCATGCCTTTTTCATGTCACAGCAAATGCAATATTGAACACCGCTGTCCCTGCTGACCTGTTACAACACGGGCTTAACGCAGCACAAACCAATAGCAAGCAAAGAATAAACTTCACCCCCTTTTCTGTTCCCGTAAGTTTATCTTTCCATCTTTCTATTATTGGGCTGCAGCTTGTGCCAGACGACTTGGAATCTTTTCGGAGTATCTCTCATCTGTGTGTTGTTGTGCATCGTGTGAAAGTGGGGAACAGGAGGTGAGATGCAGGGATTCCTAGTAGGAAAGAACAATAAATATACAACAACTTGTTTTGAGCTTGTGTCAAAACGGAGGTCGTGGGAGGTCATCAATCCGATCAACGCAGAACTTGTGAAAAAATATGGCGCTATAGTTGAAGGAGAGTACACACGTGCCTACACAATCTGATACTTTCCAAACATGTCCGCACTTACACACCGGATATGTGTGCATGTGTCCTGCATGGTAAGAAAATGACATGCAAGTTATATTATACCGGGTGCTCAGTTTCAAACATTACACATGCATGCACACATGTGCCCCCAGTGCATACAGGCCTCTGTGCGGCTGTGCTCGTGTCCAGCATGGACAGCACAGAGGAAATTCTTCCCTCCCAATTTCCCGGGACTGAACTGGGAGTGACCTGGTTGGCAGACGCACAGCCCCAATGGAAGGAATGTAACTCAACCCCCCCACCCCATCTCGCTCTCAGCCCCTCAACCCCCTCATCCATCCAGAGCAGTGTGGGCCCAGCTGTGTGAGGACAGACAGAGAAACATACAGTACTGTAGGGTGAGAAGAAGCTTTTACACCCCCAGCTAGTTGAGAAACACTCCATCGTTTTTCCCCCATGTGAAACAACCACAGACCCGCAGTCATGTAAAGAAAATACAAACAAAAATAACAAAATGAAGCTAACAAAGACAAATAAAGAAACAAACAATCAATAATCGAGTGTGTAGTCTGTCGCAAAGAGGGTCAGGCACCGAGAACCGTCCTGTGACTGCTGTGGTTGGTAGCAGATAACCATGGTAGTTTGCATTGAAGATTGTAACATGTCTGCAAATATTTGCTAACCAGCAATAGTGTCACGAGTAGTGACATCACAGAAACAGAGAATGTTCACATTTACAGCTGAAACCAACACAAAAGACAGAAAAGTTTTTACTCAACTTTTTCCGTCTCCAGCTTGGATCGCACTTTTCTCAGTTTCACTACCACGAGTAGTTGCCAAATGTTTGCAGACCAGTCTGCAACTATATTCACTTATTCCATGCAAACTACAGGCAACTGCAGCAATCTGCTAACGACAAAGCAACTGCAAGGACGATTTCAGCTTTTTGCAACCTCCAGCAACCGCTAACCAGTGGTTGTCAGCAGTGTTGTCAACTTAGTGACTTTGAGTTTTCAGAGCCCCTTAGCGACTGTTTTTCTAAAAAGCGACTAGCGACAAATCTGGTGACTTTTTCTGGTGTTAATGGAAGTTTATGACGACTTTTTGACGTGAAAGCACGGATCGCTCTTACACTCAACAAGCAGCGGGTGCTGCCATGGGCACCTCGCCCATGTCAAAGCGCTCACAGGTGGCAGATAGTCCTCACGC